TTGGGATGTTTTCTTGATGTGCACTTAACCTTTATATAAAACTCTCTCTTATACATGAGTTTCTGTGGATTTGTTTCTCTAAAGTACCCAGACTAACACAACACCCCAATACTTTGGGGTTTTAGACCCTGTCTGTGCTCCGGCTAGTTCTCAAGCCGTTTTTGTTTTTTTCCTTCTTCTCAAAACCCTCTCCAGAAGGTGCTCTCTGCCGTCCAAGGCCGGAAAGGCCACCAAAGCCCACTGCCATCAAGATGGCCCGGGCTCACAGCGACTTGATAGAGACACAAGGGTTCCTGGGTTTGTGACCCAGCCCTCCCACCAAAGGGCAGACACACTGGCTGCTGGGGCATCTCCAAGCACGTGATCCAGGTGGAGCTGTGGTTGGGGTGGGGAGGCTATTGGAAAGACAGAGCAATGATAATGGCTGTGCCACAGGGGGTGGGGGGCCGGGGGTACAGTGGTGGTTCACTCGTGGGGCTCCCGCCTTCCCTGGGGGAGTCCCAGGCTCATTTTCCAGCCATGTACCCCATGCACAGCCTCCACCTGTCGGCTTGTGTGTTGCTATGGCGCTGAATAGGCTTCAGAGGAACTTCCACCCTAAGACTAGGAAGAAAGGTCTGGCAAACTACTCCAGAAAACCTGCCAATAAACCCTCGGATCACCATGAGCCCAGCTGCAATCAATTGTGGGCACAGTGTGCAGACCCGGCAGGTTTTGTTCCACCGTGTGCGGGGACAGTCTGGGGCCGGCTCCACTCCATGGCAGAGAACATTTAACCAGACACGCAGGCATGCAGGTGTCCCTGGGAGGCCTAGCACCTACCTACTTACCTACTCTCATGGGCCCTGCCAGGACAGAGAAAGAATACAAAGTTACAAATAAAAGCTGCCAGGAGAGGCCCTAATGAAAATGAGTTGCTGCTCGTCTTGGTGAGGGGCTAGCAGGCAGCCTACTGAGAATTTGGCATGAGCAAGCCGGGGGCTGAACCTCCTTTCCTGCCTGCCCTGCCCTGCGTCCTGGCCATGTCTCCCAGTCTGTAAACCTCCGATGCCTGGGCCCTGCCCTTTGCGCTTCTTGAGAAAGAGGAACAAGAGCGGTCACCCCCACCATCTGGCCAGCCTTGGTGGGTCCCTGAAACTGCCCCTAGGCCCCACTGAGGAAAGCCTGGGGAGTCCTCATCGCAGAACCCACTTAGACTGATAACTTTCTCTAAAGTACCTAAGGCTCCACAATGCAGACTGTTGGAGGCAGGGCATGGGGTGGGATGGGGAGGGGCTCACAGCACTCAGCTCTGGTCTGCCGAAAGCACAGTGACCAGTGCTCTGTGCTGAACCCCTACTTCCAAACTGTGTGGCGTCGGGCAACTGACTTGCCCTCTCTGGGCCTTATACCTTCTTCCACACCAGGATGCCAGTGAGGGAGTGGAGGTTGTTATCTCAGGACCCTCTCGGGAACATGAGGTTCTAACAGCCCAGCCTGGACCCGCCAGGGCCTATGGAATCTCCGATTCCTGCTCATCTTACCCTAGCTGTCACCGCTGACTGACTGCTCTGAGCCTCAGCGGCCCTTGGCAGGGACAGCACAGCACAGCCTGAACAGACTTCACCCACTTACGTGAGGGACTTCTCCAGGCGGCTCCCAGGGGACCCCACAATCTCTCCAAGGGTGCAGAACGCCTGGCCCAGGAAATCCTGCGTATCCAGGATACAACAAAGACCAAAGTCACCCAACTGCTCGCGGCCATCACCACCTCCCCCCACCCCGGAAGTGTGGCGTCCTCTGAAGTGCCAAGGCTGTGGCGTCAGACGGACTCACTCAGTGCCACGGGGAAGCCCCAACGATGGCATGCACACGCGTGACTTTGCAGAAGGCCTGCATGGGCCTGGCAGAACTCACGTGTTTGGATAAGTCTGGGCTCTTGGAGTCCACATCGTACCTGCAGGGAACGAGGAGGGACGGACGGTGAGGCAGCTGGGGGTCAGGGCACCTCCACCCCCGGAGACAGGCTGTGCCGGGTGGCTGGCTTTGGGTGCATTGACGGGGGAGCCTTGTGGAGGGCCAGATGTGGTCTCTTCAATTAACAGGTGGTTGGAGGGGTGTGAGCTCATGTAAAAGTGCACCCCGGAGCTTACACGTATGGTTTGTGCCCGTGGCTGTGTCTGAAGAGCCCCGGTGGCAAGCGAGCCGGCCCGTGGTTGTGATGCAAACACCACTGACAACTTTCTCAGCACAACCTCCCTGGCCTTTTCCCCACCGGTGCGGGTTCCCAGCTCCTTCAAACTTCTTCCTAATAAGCCCCCAGGATTGTCCTTTGTCCTCCTAGAAAATCTACCAAGGGGACCCCTTGGGGATCCCCCAAGCCATCACCCTAACCTCTGAGCTGACCCCTCAGCCCTGGATGCAACTGGCCCGGCAGATCCCCTCGGGGGCGCCATTTCTAATGGACCTTTTTGCACGCACCTGCAGCCACCCACGGAGCACAGCGCTGGGTTTAAAAGCGTTTTGTGTGTGCACGTCTGCACTGGTGCCCTGGTGGCATCTTGGCAATGCTGGGCTGCGAACCTCAAGGTCAGCAGTTTGAAATCCTGGGAGAAAAACAGGGCTTCCTACACCGGTAAAGATATACAGTCTTGGAAACTCACAGCGGCAGTGCTGCCTGTTCTATAGGGTCACTCTGAGTCAGCCTCAACTCGACAGTGAGTTCGATTTTCTTGGTTATGTATGAGCCAGAAGCCTAGTAGCAAGACTTTTGGACTTACCCTCGTATATACTGTATCTCCTTAAATATTAAAAACATACAGCCAACGCTCTCTGCCTCTGGGCCGTTGATAGACTAGGCCCTGAGTTGCCTTGACTGTCTCATCCTGCTGTGTTC